ACCATACAAAAATTCCAAAACGTTATATTAAGGGGTGTGGCAAATGCACCATGGTACGTAAGGAACTCTGATCTGCATCGTGATCTAGGGATAAATACGGTGGTGGAAGAAATACAGCGAAATGCAAGAATGCACCTGCAGCGACTGTACTCTCATCCGAATGATGAAGCTAACGAACTGGCGTCAATAGAGCCAACACGTCGCCTTAAGCGTCTAAAACCTTGTGATCTTTGGTCGCAACCTGTCCGAAATGCGTGATAAATGAACTTGCGTGATTTCTAATTAAATTCTTTATAATTGTTGATTAAAATTGTTTGTTAGCTTATTATATTGTTAGCTAGTTACTCTTATAAAATTTATTTAATCAAATAAAAAAATTTATATATACAAAAACAAAAAAAAAAAAAAAAAAATTGATATAAAAATTAAATCGTATCACTAAAATTTCTTACTTATCTATATATTTTATTAAAACAAAATCATTTGTATTGGCTCCCAATAAAGCGAAGCTTACGACTATGTCTAATCTTTTATACAGGTAACAGATCCAAACTAAGCAGAAGACACTCTGTCCTTTCAATTAAACCCAAAATGTCAGGTGTTGAGAATATGATAAGAAGAACTGCCGTCACAGTAATCTACTCAGGGTTATCATCCATCAGGGTTAATGAGTAAAAATACCACACTAAATATGAGATCTATTAATTGACTTTTTTAAAGCACAGTGCTGATCATAAAATATCATTCTCAAAATAGGTAATACATAAAAAGTATGACACTAAAGAGATGACGTCGATAAATAGATTTTTTTGAAATATATATTTTATATGCCGAGTCATTTCAATTGAATCTAAAATGTTAGCTATTGGGATATGAAAATAGGAACTGCCGCCATAGTAATCTCCTCAGGGTTATCATCCACAAAATAGTTATTGAGTAAAAATACCACACTAAATATGAGATCTACTATTAATTGACTTTTTTAAAGCGCAGTGCTGATCACAGATTATCATTCTTAAAACATTTAATAAATAAAAATATCACACTAAGTAGATGACATTCATATTACAGATTTTTTTGAAATATTTTATAAGCCGAGTCATTCGAATAAAAATTAAAATTTTTAATATTAACCCATTGGTAGCAATTTGTTATCATTAATATATTATTAAAAAATTTTTATTTTATTTTACGCAATCAATAATACTTCGCTTAATATATTCTTGATAGATTTTATTTATTAAATTTTCACACATGAATACTGAGAGAATAATGATAGATATTTCAACCTTTATATTTCCCATTTGAAGTACTTAAGAAGCCGAAGTATATAAAAATTTAATTTTTTTTAATTCGATAAGATAAGATGTTTGCGAATTCAATTCTATTCAAGCACATTTTTGGTTGGCATTTCATACTTTAAATATATATCTCGGAAGTAATTGTACTTTTCCTTTCAACAAGAAAACTTGTAAATTTGTTACAAATGTCACTCGCCAATTGGATATATTACTTCTTCCTACTGTTAACAATTGTTATCATAATGAGAGTAAGGCAAATACAGATTTTCGTTCAATATAGAAAAATTAAAAAATCTTACTTAGGTTCTATGGAAAGCGAGAAGCTTAAAATTTGATGAATTTAATGATGATAACAGTCCAAACGGTAAGTTTAGATAAGAGTGCAAAGCACACGAGCTTCAAATTAAATTAAACAACTAACACTAACTAAAACTACTAACTAAAATGTGAATGAAATAAGTGAATATTTGAATTGTATATAAACAAAATAATTTGTTTATTTTTAAAGACATTTTTTTTATATTCACAAACTTGCACACTGATAAGAAATGCAAATAATTTGATAAAAAAAATGTGAAGTGAACTAGTTTAAATTGAAAAAATTAATACAAAACAAATTGAATAAATACCATGTTTAACCAAAAAAAAATGTATCAGCCATCATCAATTAAAGTTATACTAATTCAAAGACACCAATGAAACCGAATTCTCTAGTCACCCAAAAGAAATTTTTACTTCAGATAACATCACATAAATTCATATAATTATTTTGAATATCAAATAATACAGATCAGTGCGTTTTTAGAGATTTTAGTTCCATTTGAAATCTACCCTAATGCTCAAAAAGTATCCGGATTTTGTTTGTTAACTACTCCTTAAGTAATAGACCTTTTTCAAACATTTTTTTTTGTTATGTTGGTACACCCTTTCTTGACATATGGTACAAATTTGAGCGCCATCTGTCAATTAGTTTGCTTACAGCAGCTGTTAATGTGAAACTATCTCAAGTGCATTTAGCGATTTTTACTATGGAAAATTCTTGTTGTACGCGATTTTTTGATCAAACACGGCACCACTAGCATCGCTCAGGCACCATATTCGCCAGATCTGGCGCCGTGTGACTTTTTCCTGTCCCGAAACTCAAATTGCCCCTTCGTGGTAAACGTTTTGAATAGATTGAATCGGTGAAAGAGAATTCGCCGAAGGAACTAAAAGCCATACCTGCACGGGCCTACGAAAAGTGTATGGAAGATTGGGTTAAGCGTTGGCATATGTGTATTTCTTCAGAAGGAGCATACTTTGAAGGAGATAAAATAAATTTGGAATAAAATTTAAATTTGTGTGGTTTATTTACAAAATCCGAGTACTTTTTGAGCTGGAGGTACTTAAACTTAGGTATTATCATGTTGAATTGTTAGGAAATATATAAAACTTTTATTTGTATAATAAGTTTTTTTAAATGTGATGCTTTCGTTTTCAAAGTTTATCCTAAAGATATCAGACAGAACTACTTCCAACCAATTTCAACTACTTTTAACAACTATATAAAACTGAAAATTATCGCATCACATTTTTTAATCTGACAAAATATTGTATAATTTAAACATATACAGAGCTTGAAAAATAAGACCTTTATTTGTTAGATCTTCATAAAGTAATCGCATTAGCTTCATGCATTTTATTATATATTAAAATATTTTGCAATTTCCTTATTATTTTGACAAGTAAATTATATGACATAATTCATTTTAAACATTATCATCAATATAAACCTAATAAAAATTATAAAATTTCTTTAAACCTAAGAATGTTGCCGATCATAAATCGCAGAAAAATAATAAAAAAAGATGTCAACAATCTCTCGTGGTTCATTGATTCATATCTACGTCAAACATACGTATATCAATTGTAAAAATAGCTTAAATCGGCGTTCTTCAAATAGTTTTAAGGAATTTTATTTATACTGTTGCAAGTTAAACTGATTTGAGATTAAGAATATGACATATTGGTATGACCAACAGCCACACCATTCTGCATACCTACTATTGCTACTTTCAGATACAAAACCTTTTTCAGCTGTTTCAGACATCAAGTTACTACTTATGTAGCAGATACTTATATCATGAATCTAAGCTTGTTGAAAGAGGCTGCTTTGGAGTCTCTTCTCAAAGTAGTTTGTGGAAAACGTTTATCCCATTGAAAAAATACAGCTAAATTTTTATTCCGACGGCTCTAAGTTTAACAAAAGAGTTAAAGTTTTTGGTGTTTTTTCAAAGAATTTAGGATTGAAGACACACATACACGTCTCTCTAACACTATGATACTTATCAAATAGAAGTTTTATTAATCAAGGAAATAGCTGTATACATAAGCATGATGTGTCTAAACACACCAAAAAAGTATACATAAATATATAACGTTGATAACTTAAGTAAGTTGATATTGCTAATATCAATAGTTGTTAACGATTCCCTAGCGTACCCTAAAAATAATCACCGTTTTCAGACTACGCTAACTGTAGAATTTAGTGCACCGGTGAATTAGTTAGACACACTCACCTTAACCTACCTTATATATAGGAGAACTGTTGCCAATAGGACGTGAATAAACAAAGGCAGTTTCTAAAAATATCATCATTGTTAGTATGCCTACTACAGACTGCAGAGCACAATGATATTCAAGTAAGTTGCAGCGTCTCTAGGAATGAGGGGGAGTGGTTTAGCCCGTGCGAGTCGGGCACTCACCTTCCGGGGCCAGTGCCAGGCAGGGCCGGTGGTCAGTGCGTAAGCATTCCACTCCTCCTTGCCGCAAAAATAAAAATAAAAAAAAAAAAAAACTACAGACTGCAGGGCACAATGATATTAAAGTAAGTTGCAACGTGAACAAATAGGCCTTGTGCACGGAGAGTAGAATTGTTGTCAATAGGATATGAACAAGCAAAGACACTTGTTTAAACTATTGTAGCAGAAATTTGATAAGAAAAAGAGGACATCTCTAACATCATAGACCGTACAGCCGGTCGCTGACTATTTGGCAGACAGATTTACAAGCTAGGAGTACCTTCTCCTAAGTACTGTAGAAGTTGTAGAGGCGAGATAGAAAAAGAAATAGTAGACAACATATTTTATAGCTAGAAGTAAAGTGAGTTGCTTAAACAATGATAACTTAACTTATCAAAACATACAACTCTAAGGTAAAACACATCCTGCGTCATATAAGCGATTCGAAATGAGTAAAGATAAGTTTCTGCTGCAAATTAGTGGTACTACATTGAAGCTATAGGATTTACAATAGGTTAATTGATCAACTAAACTGACTATCGCAATAAACATACTTAATCTTGAGGAGATCCTTAACCAAAGCTATGTACTGCTGCTCTGACTGAAACAAGTATACTATTTTTCACAATCAGAAATTTGTTTAAATGTCCATAATTCTTGAAGTACACAAAATGATTTTGGATTTATGCATTTGTAGTTTTGGTAATTCAAACCGAATTTTCATTAGGTTAAAAATGTACAGTAATTCTAAATAATTCATTCTATAAATGAATCAAAAAACATACTTTAATCACATTTTTTAAAAATACTTTTTTAAATTAAATTCAAAATTAAGTTTTTAATTAGATTTGATATGTAATGTAATGTAAAAACTACATGTAATTATAATGTAAAAAGGTGAATATGTAAAATATGTTCAAATTAAAATATTGCAGATTTCACTTGCCCAAATGAATTGAAGTAATATGTAATAACTTTTTTTTGTTGAAGTCTTACGCTGTACTTTTCGAAACAATATTTAAAAGTTATATTTTGATCTTTATCCATGACCACAATATTTAGAACTCTTGCGATGTTCTTGTAGTCACTATTTTCATGTATTAATTTCAATACCTCCAGGGGCCCACTTAATTTTATACTTATTATTGATTTATTGTACTGTTCCATAGTTCCCATTGTAAACATATCTTTTTTTCGAGTCCAGTTGACATCTATTTTCTGCAAGAACATAGTTGCTAACCGAAATGCTTTCGGAATGTCCAAATCGTCCTTATGATCCTCTTCAAAAACAAAGTCAAGATCGTTATTGAGACATACTGTATATTTTGTATATTCAGGTTTTATGTACTCTTTAGTTAGTTTAAATATTGAATAGTGAAAAAACGTATTTGCGATATCCGCAACTGGTTTGCTTAAGTTCTTGTTTGTACTCATTAGCAGGATAAGCATCACGTCCGCGACTACGTTAAAGTTTTCCATTTCACAACATATATTTCCATAATGTATTCCATGATAGTTCATTAAAAAATCAATCTTTTTAGCTTCTGATTCAATTACAATATCCATAAATTCATAAATGATTTTAAATACAACTGAATGCAAATCATTTTGACATATTTTTACGTCTATCTTGTGCAATATATATTCATCAATTAATTTTTGCATACGATAGGTAGTGCTCCGTAATGCATTTAATGATATGGCATCCAAATTATTGAAAATAAGAAATAGAATCTCAATTGGCAACTGATCAAGCTTTATTCTGCAATTAAATAAAAAAAATTTTAAAAGTTGTTAATTAATAGTGTATGGTATATTAAATTAAAATAATTAAATTATGCAACGAAACAGTGCTATGATTATAATATCGATATACACACAATCTTATTTGATATCATGTGATAAGTTAGACAGACAACGGATTCCAGAAATGTTGAATACTAATGACATCCCTTAGAAGTGTTAAAAACTTAAAGGACACAACAGCTAAGGTTTGAATATAACAAAAGTTTAGAAAAGTGTATATTAAGTATACAGAAATACTTAAGCGGTAAAAAATGAAGATATAGGTACTATTTTTCATCATCCTCCCCATCATTCCATCAATATCACACTTTCGACTGTTCTCAAAAATATATATGAAATACGAAGAGAAGACTTGACGGCATGACGACAATAGTCAGTCGGTAAAGAAGTGCAATTATATAAATATTTATTTCAATAAAATCAACCGTGCTTTTAACTTGTAAATAGATGACAAGCATAAAAAAATATTAAGATTAGTAAATATTAGATTTACATATTTCAACACTTTATAAAAAGTATTATAACAAAAAAAATTGAAACTGCTAACAAAACATTATTTTCAGTACTAAAATCTCTCAACTTGTATCAGAAAATTATAATCTTTCCATTTACAAGAAGATAAAACGCATGATACTATGATACAGGTGATACACGGTGAGAGTCAAAAGTAAGGTTCTAATAAATTTGTTGAAGGAAATTCAGTATTTACCATGATAAATTAATGGGTATAATAGAAACATAATATATATGGTTATAGTTTTTTTTGACATTTGTGTAATTTATATATGTTTATATAAATTATATATGTAATTTATATATGTTTATATAAATTATATATGTAATTTATATATGTTTATATATACAAGAATTATTTCCAGGACCATTGATGATGGGTATTTGGCAATACTCGAAACAGCTGTATGGTCAGCCAAAAATTCAATTAATTAAAATAATATAAAAAATAAATTTTTGTTGTTGTATTTCACTACTGTTCGAAAAAACCTCTATATGTTTTTATTAAATAATTTTTTTATAATACATATGTGACTATAACTTCTCTTTAATTAATTAGTTCTTCATAACTAAATTCCATATTATAATTTCTACAATATATATTTCTACATAAATATAAGCAAAACTTTATAGTACACAAGAACAAAATTTCAACTAAAAAGGCTAAAACATAACTTCTATGATGGCAGCGTCCTTACAGTAATATCTTATATTTAACGCTAAAAAAAGTAATAGTCATGTGACTGCAGCGATCATAATTGACGCTTTTTATCACGTTTTTTTAAAAAACCACATTTCCAGAGTAAATGTTATAATAGTTATAAATGTTATAAAAACACTAAGATAGTTCATATTTATGTCCGAACCCAAATGAGGAGAAGTTAATAATAACAATAATAGCATAGACTGTTTGAATTTTATTATTTTGTGAATGAAGTAGTTCCGGTACAGAGAAAGCATTAACATTATTTTTATTCAATACACCATAACCCACACAATCTCGATTTAGTTCTTTCAAATGTTGGGCAGTAATAGATAAAGCACTTTGCGTTGCCCATATTCCCAATACATGTCATGGTACACCTCACAGTGACTATATATGTATTCAATGATCTTTCGAAAGTTAATTGTGGGTTTTCACTACCCCAGATGCAACAAGTTTGTTTGTTGATATGGTCATTAAGCATAAAGTGAGCGCAACCACAAAAAAAAATCATGCTATATATATCACTGATACATATTGTCACAGCTGTTGCAGTAAATATTCACAATTATAACACGTATTATGCTTCGATTTACAATTTTGTTTAACATATGTTACTGTTACCGTATTTCCAAATTAAAATTGCGAAATAGATAATTTATCATTTTTACAGATCTTTAGAATTTTTCGCTACTTTTATTAACCAAACGCTGTTGGTATAATTTTGTTTCTTATTCTAATCGAAATAGTTTTTTTATTGTTATCCTTAATATATCCATACATTTGAGTTAAGTTGCATTCTGTTTAAGTGGCAAAACACTAAAGAGAGAGAAGCAACAATACAAGAGCATAAACTATGAACAATAAAATGAAAACGAATTTGTAACAATAACGATGTTGTCTTGTGCGCTACAACGGTTTGTTTTTATACATAAAATGCATTTAAGTGTATAATACGAAGCAATGAGTTATCAGTAACAGGTGAATTGTTGTTATTTGTTGTTATGTTGTAAATTGTTTCAAATTATAATTGAATTACAATATTACTATTTGTATGAAGAGTGCACGAATAAGAAAGCAAGTCGATTTAGTAATGAGAACATTTTCATTTATTTACTTACTTCAGTAAATAATATTTAAAAAATTTATGTCTCTAGCTTTGGTTTAATACATACATTTTCACGTGTTTCATATATTTGAAAGTGAACTTTGCATTATTCATATCGTACGTATTTATTTATTAATGTTGATGAAAAGTTTAAGTAGTTTGAAATGTTATTTATTTTATTTTTGATAAGATTACTTTTATTAGAAATGACTTTAAATAACGTAAACAAAGTAGTCTATTGCAAAAAATAATGTAAATATGTGTTGTTTGTTATTATTACTATAAACACCATATTAAACTTGACAAACTCATAATTTAAATAGTAATTTTATTTAGTTTTATTTGTTTAATTCTTATATTAATTCCGATAAGAACCCAGGTGACCCAAAGCATAGGAAAAGAAAACATTATGTGGCTTGGCTTATCAACACACGCTAGCAGTGGCAAACGTGACAGATTTTTCTCAAACCTAACCATTCAATACGAATGGTAAATGAACAGTTCTAGACGTTAAGTAAACTTAAGTGAGCCTCGATGTGAGTCACGAGAGCGTTTGTGCAAAAGCTTTTCCGCATTAAGCTTTTTTTTCTAAGTAAGATAAGATAGAACCTGGAAAGTGGTATCGGTTTAGTTAACCGAAAATCGTTAAATCATTTTTTTTCAGTATCTTTAATCTTTATTAACATAAAACTGTTTGCGGAGAAGTATTTACAGTTAAATATATTTTTATTTTACATTTGTGATCTTGGAAAAAAATCATTAAAGAAAATTCTAAAATGTTTATAAGCGATTTGATTTATTTGACATTTCTATTTGTTATACTTTTTGTTGTAAGTAATTGAGAATAACTTTAATATCTCATTTATAACAAAGCAGCTGTTTGAATTTTGATTTTATAGATAATTTACAAAGCATTCAAGATGCAAAAGACTATGGACTCAGAGAATGAACAAACTACGAGGACAGGTCAGTAACGTAGAACGTAATAAATTGCAACACTTCGTTTACTGAGATAATAATGTTTTATATATTTTAATTTAATTAAAATTCAGATAAAAGTTCTAAAAGCTTATAACAGCTTACATTAAATATTAAATAATTTGCAATATTTAACTTGGGTTTAGGAGAGGGTATTCCCTGCTGAAAAGTTCAATCACATTTCTTAAATCAGTTTCACTTCTGTAAACAGTATTGTATGAGCAGGTCATTGCAACAGTGTGTCATAAGAAATACAAAGTAAATTAACTAATAATAATATAATATATATATAAAATAATATATATTAAAATAATATATGGTACATGTAAAGAAATTTAATTGTGATTTATATAAAAAATATTGTATTTGGCAAAAAAATTATAGTTATATCAACACAACGACATAGATACGTAAATAAATATCATTACCAAATATTTTTTTTCAATTCCGTGCATATATTTACATATATATATATAAATATTGCAGTGAAATATTTTAATCTTTTCAAAATATTTTAATCAATTTAAATAAACAACCTGTTTAAAAATAAAACGTTAAAAGTGATAAAAACCATAAATTGAAGTAGTTGAATAAAAATCAAATCAGTTTTAATACGGATAATATATATAAAGAATTGGTATTATTAATAGTTTATAAATTTAATCATTTAATAACAAAAAAAATATAGTGTAATAGATAAAAGCCAATATCAACAAAATTTCGTTATAAAGTGTGTGTTATTTTCTTGAATTTCTATAAGTTTTTTTTTCAAAATACCTACTCCTGTGTATATATATATAATTATATGTATAATTAACTATATATATAAATATATATAATTTTTGTAAATTTGTGAGTTTAATTTTTATCTTCAGTTTCAAATCCAGCCAAAGGTGTAATGTGTAGATAAATTGATTCTTGACAAATAAATTTTACTATTTGTTATAATATATATATATATATATATCATATATATGTAATAGTTATAATATAATATAACTATAACTATATTAAACATTATTATTAAATTGCGCGATTTTGCACTTCCAGATTTATTGTGTGCTCTCCATGTATTTAGAAAATTTCTCCAAGTCCAATAACAATGTATGAACTAATCTTAACTAATTTTTAAAAATTTTTTAAAGATATTGACTATAACTGAATTAATATGAGGAAGTATAAACATGAATTAGTTTCATGATTTTCAGTTATTAGAAATTATAGTTTTCAATAAATAAAATTTTGTGAAATAAACTATATTGTTCTGATTGATATTTTTCCGATTGTTTTTACAACTCATATACAATATAATATTTCTATTGAGAACGTCTGTTATTCGAAATACTGTTTTTACACTTAAGTGACGTCATTTAGAAAATTCCATAAAAAATTCTTATATTATTTATTTAGCGTTTTAAGTAGATACGTCAATACTTAGTGCATTTATTTTTCAGGAGTTATGTGTTTGTGGTTGTTTGGAAATGATAAATATCTTTTAATTAATTAAATATTTATATTAATCTAATAAATATCTATTAATAGAAAATTGGGTATCTCTTGACTAAAATTTCTTGCTGATTATTATTTGAATAAAACAAAATTTAATTAATTTTAGATTTCTTAAACTGTTACTTTTTTAATATTATTTAATCCAT